AATAAACACCACAAAGTGAAGCATATGGGTGGGTTCTGTGATGGCTTCTGATCAAAACAGAAGTGTCTTAAGGAACTGTGTAAGGACAAAAACAGTGGTGAGCTTAAGAATGTAAGTATGAACTAGCTGAATCTGTTGCCATCAATCACTTGTCTCTGGTATGAACAATAAATGCTACTGACAAGTTTGAGAATGGACAGAACTACATCTAAGTACGTAGCTGTTTCCACATCAGCTAATCAAGTTTTCTGTGGACTGTGGCCACAAAAATGAACTTAGTCTGAGAACTGTTCTAATTTAGTAATTTTCATTCATCAGTAGATTTGGGGAGGGGCAAGGGGGGGCAGGGCACAGAATCTTCTTTGGACAAACAGCAGAAGTGCTTACCATAAATTCTCCGTAGTCAAACCGGTGCCATACATTTAGATGGTCAACAAAATTTCTAGTAACCTGGTTAGAAACTTCCCAAGGAAGAGACACACAAATAGGACAGACCTAAATGTGAAAAATAAATGCATAAGTGCAATAAGCAATACAGTGATGCTTAATGTAAAATCTTATGTTGATACTTGGAAGTGAATTACTATAGATTTTTACATAAATCACTACATTATTTTGATTGTTACAGTATTTACAGTTTTCCAGAAATAACCAAGGTAAGAGTGTCAACTTACATTTACTATTGCCATTAAGTGGGCAAAAGATAATAAAAAAGTTTATTATGAAAACAAGAACAAGCATAAGAAATTATTAACCATAATGAGATACAGAAATAAAAGAATAAACACACCTGTAAGTATCAGAATAACCCATTCTTACCCTGCAGCTTAAATTCAAGGACGCAGTTTCTAGCTAGCTTTAACAGATTTAAAGCAGCTTCTGCCTCTGACTACTCTGCCACAACCTCCTGCACTTTCATCTGCTAGGTCAACTTCAACCTCTGCTAACAGAGTACAGCCTTCCTTGTACTCTAGGCCACCTGACCTCAGACAGACACAGCTAATTATGTCTCTGCAACTTGAAGTTTAGTCACTTTATTAAAAAGGAGCTTAAAAGTAGTTGGTGACCACTATTAAACATAACTGTCCTTATCCAATTCTGTGGTTTAAATAACAATTTGCTGTTTATTAATAGATTTTCCTTTTTGCCTATGCTGGAGTTTGGAGCTGTCTTTCACAAGACTAAAATGGCTATACAAAAGTAAAATGAAAAATAGAGAACACTTTACTTATTATCTTTCAATTTTGGTAATTTTAGGTTTCATTTACTGTAACAGTAAATTACAAGACAGAAATGGTATTTTTAAATTGAATGTGCATTTACAAGAAACAAGTTTAAGATAATGAACCAGAAAACAAAACATCATACTCAAAAGCAGAAACAGTTTACATTCAACTGAAACATACAACAAAAGAAAAACACTCAACTGCCTTATGACTGAAGAGAAGTGAGAAAAGGTACGGTTGAGACGGAAACATTTTTTAATGAAAATGTAGTCTACTTACTACAGGACATATCTGATGAACATGTCTATTGTTACAATGATCCAGTAAGCGTTGCCTTGTAAAGTTGGTTTCCTGGCACAGGGGGCACTTAAATGTGGGATGACCACTGGAAATTAAAGTTAGATAGTGTTATATATAACATGCACTACTACCAAAGTTTAGCAGAGATGCCAGAGGAAGATAACATCTGTCAATGTGCCCCCTGGTGGTAATTAAAATGGAAGAAAAAACTGTTTCTTGATGCTACCATTGTATTGCTACATTGCTAAAGAACTTAAGATTTCAAGCAAATTGCAGATGTGTGTCAACATAGTCCGTTAACAACCTGGAGAGCTCAGCCAGTTTTTTGGTTGTTGTTGAGACCATAACCAGAACCTTGCTTTCATTCTTTGGCACCTTCCTGAAACATACATTGCATTCTGAAGCGTTTCTAAGATGTAGCACCATGAGAAGGAGATTCTGATGGCAAGACTGATGTAAAAGAAGCCAAGTTTATGCTTCTTCTAAAGCTTGTTGAAAGGTTGGGGATTTTTTAAATGTCTTTTGGAAGTCTGAGTTGTCCTCTTCCCTACTGGATCTATTTTTAGTATTTAAAAAGGAGCAATTTAATTAGATGAACTACAAGAAGCCTACCAAGCATCTCCTTGAAATGTCTGAAGATTAGTCACCTATAATCAGCTGTAGATGTATTTACATCTCCTACTGCTTAGTTTGACACTGCGTATAAAATTACAAGTGTAATCATTTTTAGTTTTGAGGCCTGCATGTGTAAAGGCCTCTAACTATGAACGGAAAAATCCATTCATTCCCATGAATGCAATGGATCTTACAAGTAAAACATACAACTGTAACAACACATTTTTTTTTAAGTATCACCACTGCTCAGAACTTTTGTTTTGCGTCATCATGCAATGTTTTTCACTTCATTAGCATGATGGGCTTACTGGAATACAGAATGAATTAGCAGGAAAATGATGTATGTTACTTGCTTATCCATTCAGTAGCAAAATTATTGGCGGGGAAGAACAGCTTCAAGGGTACAATGTAAAAATAAAATGGACAGTTTTCCAAAAGCCACAGCTTGGGGTGACATAAATGCAATTAACTCATTCACAACTTGGAATGGCGGAAAGAAAGGCTGCTGCAGGTTGTGCATGCAACCAAGAATTTCCTAAATTGAGCTGCCAAGAAGAATGTCAAGATATAATTTTGAAATGTTTAGCCAAGCCACACCGGACTGCTCAACTATGATATATGTGCCCCAAAAATGCAGACATTTAAAACTGTAAATATGGCTGAAATAAACCCTGAAGTTTTTTACGTTTCTTGTAATACTGGACATGAAAATTCTTCAGTAACATCACTCATTTTATAAGACACTGCAGAGCAGTGCTAATATACTATTTCCGAAAACAATATTATAAAGAGAGTTTGAACCTTACTCATCACACTCCTTATTTTATCACAATTCGATTTCGAATGCAAATTGTTACTTACAATTTGTCAAATTATTGAAAATATAAGGTGAAAAGGAACACAATAATTATATATAGTTTAATCGTATTTGAAACTAAATATGAATTAAGAATGAATACAAGAGATGTAATGGTGAGCAGATAAAGCAAGAAAAGTATTAGTGCTGTTTGCAACAGTAATTGGGTAAGTGACAGCTGATTTTATAGTTTATAAAACAATGAGGATTCCAGTCTTACACCTTTCACAGATCACACTAAAACCAGGTAAAATCAGAAGGCAAAAAAACTGAACAACAATATTTTTAAACAGGAATGGGCTAAGCAGACAACCTTCATTCATACAGCAGTAAAATTAGGAGGAGAGAGAAACGGGAAGAAAGACTTGTAAGTGCAACGAAACCTGCTACAAAGCAAGTGTAGGAAAGAAAGTTGAGGTAAGCTGTTAAGGAAAGAAAATAGTGGGAGGCACTAGAGAATGTTTCTGGAAATTGTTCCATGCCATGAAATGTGTGGAAATGTGGTAAAAGTTTTCTGTATGCCCAGAATAAGAAAGATATATAGGTCGTTCTCTAGACTGGAAAAAGTTTCCAATTTTGAAAAAATAAGAACTGGGACAAGGTTGTTTACAAAAAGAAAACATCCTGAAATACTATTTCCCCATTGTGAAAAAGATATTTGCTGTCATGCATGAGAGATACTGATTACCTGTTCCCCGTTGACTCTTGGTAAATCTTTAAGCTTGGAATAGTACAAGAATCACCATATTCTTCTTGATATTTCTTACACGTTTTATAATGTTGTCTCATGCGAGAATATCTAACCTGAAAGTAAAATTTCAAACTATTTAGATTTTACAGTATAATCCGGGGGAAAAAAAAAGAATCTGATAAGGAAAATAATTCACACAAGAAGAGTTTCTTATTGAGCAATGGTCTCCCCTGTCCCAGGTTAAGTGTGTGTTTTTCACCCAATGAACCTTGAATTTTTAGCTTTAATAGTAGTACTGTGACATAGGGGCACACTACAACTAGGTATTTAGTGTGCTGTCCCAGTAGGTGAGAAATCCAATTTTGAATCCCCATCAGCTTGAGGAAGATGTAGACCCTACATCCTCTACACTTCCAAGTACTCAGTTGTTGCTCAAATGGGAGCACCACCCCTACCTTCTTCTGTAGGCATTGCCACTGTGCTTTGTGGAGAACTCACATCATGTTAGTTTGTTAGGTGTGCTTGCAGCATGCCTATCAAACTGGGTCCTTCATATAAATGCCTAATATGAGGATCCTGATTAAGCTGAGAGGCACAAAGCTGTTCAGCCCTGCCAAGATGGGAGCAAGTCAGAGCATATACAGAAGTACAACTTTAGGTATCATGGCAACATTCCTGCCAAAAATAGGCACCTAATGGGCCAGGGGAAGGATTTTGAGGATTGTATGTACTCTTGCATCTACACTTTTCTCAAGTTTTTCCTTTTAAGTACTGAGCTTGTACACAAAATGTTTATGCTGGTGTAAACAAGGAGGAGAAACATGAGGTACATTAGACTCAAGTGTAGTGTTACCCTGGGTGCAAATTACACTGGTGTGGGTGTCCAAGGAAATCTATTAGGTTATTACTTTGCCTCCAGCAATCTAGTGGTAAGAGACAGTGTCATAGTGACTACCGTAGCAGCTTCCCTGGAATAACTGGTCATTCAGCCACCCTGGGTCCCAGTGCAGTTCTCATTGTTGTATAAGACTGAAGTAAATTACACCAGTGTTAACATGGTGTGTCAAGGCCTGAAGTCATTTTGTGGACCTGGGGGCTTTATTCTTTCTAGCCTACCCGCTTGCATTGTTTAGTTGATCTTAGTGAAACTGAGAGCAACAACATTTTTTTCAGACAAGATATCTCCAATCTGAGTGAAGGTAGATGTTACATAAACAAAACTTATGAAGCAATCTTCCAGGTCCATTGAAGATCAACAACAGCAAGATGCCTTTTGACTTCAATGGGGCTACAATTTCACATACAGTGTTTTGGAAATTAATGCTCTATCAAAAAGAAAGCAAACATTAAATAACATGACAGAACTATGTTTTAAAGCTCTTTTTAGGAATTTGCTAACAATTTAATTTTATGAAGCCCTATAATTTTGGCACATTACCAAAAAAGAGACAATTAAAATTAATCCCTTGAAAAATAACTTGTTTTGCTTACTACTTTATCCAACTATCAACATTCATATTTTTAATTAAGGACCAAATTCTGCTTATCATATGCACTTATGCCTCACTTGTGGCTCAACGCTGTATGGTGTTCAAGCAAAACAACTGAACATTGATGATGCATAGCAATATGCAGAATGAAACTCCAGGTAAGGAAAATTTTAGTTCCTTACAACAGTTGCTTGTTATTGGTATACTCCACCTGTTTTTCACAGCATTTACAGCTTCCAGAAAACTTCTTCATGTTGTTTTCAACATCTAGGGCCCTTTGGGGATATGATCTTTCTTTCTTAGTCACACTTCCCCGGCAGAGAGGACAATGCGTTCCACTTTCTCTGATAGCTGTCAGGAAACATTTCCTGCAAAACCTAAATCAAAATTAACACAGACCTAAATTACTAAAATTGAAACAGGGTTAGCCAACTATTTTTTTGCTTTGGTATTGAGGAGACAAATGACCAACTCCGCAAGGTTCACAGCAAGGGCTAGAAGTCTGTCTATTAAATATAAGTCTACTTCAGTGACATACTGAAACATGGATTTGAGGTAATGGGATGTTTGGCAATTCATTTGATGCAGAGATTTCACTATCTAATTCTAGCACTGCTGAGCTGTTCACCATGATTGGCCATTCAGGTGATATCTGCGCTTGTGAGCTAAGAAAAATTGTACCAGGCTGGCTCCTGTTTACTGTTCCTATATAGAGACCCAAATGCTGCAAACCGACCCTCCTGTGAATGTTCCTGCAGCTTTCAGTTGGTCACATTTACTTCCCCCCGTCCCTTACTTCCAGTATAGAGCTTCATTAAAATTCAAGGCACCATATTTCAAAGAAACATCCACCCACAAGTTTGGCAACGCTGGAGTCTGCCATTAAGCATTTGTCTGAACCAACAGAAGCTTTGCCACCAAGTGGATGGGAACGAGCCAAAAAGTGGCTGGGCTGCAAGGCTTAACCTTATCTCTACTACAGGACTCATCCAATAAGACAGAGGTCCCCAACCCCTGCACTGCAGCCTGATACCTGGCTGCAAAGGGTTGGCTGCTGGACTGGAAGTCCAGAAGAGACCAGCATATTGCAGACCGGCAAACAACCCTTTTTTATGCCGAGTAAAAAAAAAAGGGGTTGGCTGCCCGCGTCTGAAATATGCTGGTCTGTGGTCTAAAAAGGTTGGGAACCACTGCGATAAGAGACTGCCCCAAGAGATCCTCCCCTCTGGCATCACTCCTGGACCATGGACAATCATGTCTACAACATCACTCCTAGGCTCCTGTGGCAAGGTTGCAAAGATGCCTCTAGGGAGGATGAGAACAGCCCGGTCAAGGGAAAAGGGAGTGGAACAGGGTTGTTAACCCCCCTGTGCTCCTTTCCTAGGAAGGAAGCAGGGTGGAGGGGGGCGGTCTTGCTGCATCCTGCTGCCCCAGGGCGATGAAGCTTGGACGGGGTGGTGTCTGGCTTTGGTGGATCCCACTCCTTAAGGCTAGGGCCTGGATCTCAAGGGTGGGGGGTGTCACAGGCCATATGTGTGCGTGGGCATGGATTGAAAGAGATGGAGGCTAGATCCTAGGCTGTGTGTTTGAGGGGCAGGGTCTAGATCCCAGACTGTGGGTGTGTGTGGGCATGTGTGTGTACTGGGGGGCTAGATCCAGGGGGACAGGGCATAAGTGTGTGAGAGCCCAGACTCAGCCCCAGTGTGAGGGGCAGGGCCTGGATCCCAGACCACGGTGTGTGTGTAATAGGGGTTAGATGCCCGGCCGGGGAGGTGGGGGCGTGCATGTGATCCCAGGCCGTGCATGGCTCCCAGGCCGTGGTGGGTATGTACTGAGGGCTGCATCCCCTGCTGGGGGGGCCGGGCGGAAGCGTGTGTGGCCCCAGGCTGTGCGTGTCTGAGGGGCAGGGTCTGGCGCTCCGGCCGCGCGTGCGATCGCACGTGGGGGGCACTACGCGGGGGTGCGGCGGGCCCGGG